TGGAGGAACTGATTAGTTTATTAATGGATGATAATAAAAAGGAGTTATACTGATCATTTTTTAATTTTATGTCATTGTTGAAGCACAGAATTTTCCATTATATAGATAGAAATATAGTATCTACAGTCAGGGGAATAATTATTTGATTGCCCACTGAATTTGTTAGACTGCTCACTTATGAATAAATGAACAGTCTCTAATTTTTATTTGATCACCAAGCAAAACCTGACTTACTAACTGATGGAGAAACCCTAGTTGGGAAGCACAGTAGTAGGACATTACTTCTAGTTTCCCTAAAGGTTTACACAAAGGACAGATTTTGTCCCACTTCTCTTTACAGAAACTAGGACACACTGTGACTTAAGTGTTGTTCTACTTTAGCCACTCCTTTGTTGCCTTGGTGGGATTTTTTCCATTATTGTAACGCTGGAAGACCCATCCACATGTTCTGGGAAAGGGAAAGAGGTTCTCGTCCAAGATTTTACAGTACAGAGCCCAGGTCTATTGAAGTTGTCCTGCATCATTAGCAAAGACTAATAGTACTCAAAGTACAGTCTTTCCATCTCTGTGCTTGACTATAGGGATAGTGTTCTTTTAGGTAATATTTGGCATTTTTCTTCCATCAAACACGGCAGGTCGAGTTGATGCCAGAAAGTGCAACTTTAAAACAAAGTTTTAGTGAAACAAGGGTCAGCACAATTTTACTTTATACTTTATAATTTTATATCTATAAAATTACTAGTTGTCTATAATCTCAAAGAAAATTCAGAAGTGCAAAGATGTACCAAGTGTTGTTTTCTTTTTCTTTCTTTTTTTTTTTGAAGGTGTGAAGAACTCTGTCCACCAGGTAAACATGGGCAGCAATGTGAGGAGAGATGTCCATGTCAGAATGGAGGAGTGTGTCACCATGTAACCGGAGAGTGCTCCTGTCCAGCAGGATGGATGGTACAAACACTAACTGTTCCTTAACTCTTTAAGAAAATTCAGCTCACTAGACATGCTAGTATTTTATGGTAATATGCAAGCATGAGCTAAACCAGAGAGAAACCTTTCATACAGGAGCTCTGTGAATATTTTCTAGGAAGAGAATTTATTTTTGAAGTTATAATTATTGAAGTTATTGTTGCAGATTCTGTATACGATAAATACATGTTTGTGCTGTTGTCTGCAGGGAACAGTTTGTGGTCAGCCATGTCCAGAAGGGAGATTTGGAAAAAACTGTTCCCAGGAATGTCAGTGTCACAACAATGGCGTTTGTGTGTCATCTACTGGACAGTGCATCTGTAGCCCTGGATACACAGGAGAACGGTAAGAGAGACCTTTACAACAAAGCCCCACAGTACAGTACAGGGTTTTTTATACCCAAAAATCAGGATATCCTCAATACCAAACATCTCCATAACTAATAATTAAAGCTCAGAGTGTATAGAAGGGACCTGCAGAACCTTAAGTATTTGAAGACTGTGTAGAGGAATGGGCCAAAATCATACCTGAGCAAAGTTTCTCCATACATGAGGCATTTTGTCATCGCCAACAAAAGCCTTTTTTTAAGTATTAAATAAATTTCAGTAAGCATGTTCAATGCTTTTCCTTGTGCCATTTCTCATTATTAAACAATTTAATTTATGCACATTTATTGTTTGATTTCTTTGGATGTGTGGATTGGATGGGTTGCTGTTACAGACATCTGGTGAGAATTTCATGTCACCTTTAGAAATATATTTACTTGTGTTCAATACTTATTTTACCCGTTGTATAAACTTGACACAGACAAATGATAAACAGAGACATGACTGACTGGGGAGAGAAGACTAATTTGACACAACTGAACAGGGAGAGCAGACAAATACAGACAGAGAACACAGAACTAGACAGACATGGGAAACAGAGAGGGATCAAAAATGGGAATGACCAAACACAGAGGAACAATGATCAACTACTATCAGAAAACTAAAAAAGCTAAAGATAAGTTCTTTCTCAAAATCAAAACAGATCATGAGCTCACAAAAAACTCAAAACCCTCGGTCCAAAACCCAAGGACCCTAACACCATGAGGTAAAGCAGGATTGAAATGCAGGACTTAGTGTAAAAATTACAGTGAATTTATTTAGATAGTAAAGAATAGGAATACTCAAGGACCTCCTTAATCCCACTGGCACGTCATCCGTGGAGGAAGCGGAGTATCTGGTCTTTAAGTGATGACGTGATGAATCCTGCTTCCGGGCCCAAAGTAGTCTGCATTTAATAAGGCTGTTGTGTTTTTAACATGTTTTAATGCTTTGTATCTTGTGCTATTTAATCTCAACAAGCACCTAAAAACTGTCAGTGATCACTGTCGGCTTCTGTCAGTTTTCATTACCACTAATCATTTTAAAACTCAGTTTTTAAAACCTTACGATGTAACTACAGCCCAGCCCCTGTAGCAGTATATTAATGACTAACCTCGTATTGTGGATGGATTATCTCAGTTGTTCTCCTGACTGAGGTTTAGTCCGTTTACAGCATCCTGCCATGCGATGGCATTTGCCCCTAACCATTGGAAGCCCTCACATTAACTTTTATCGAGTGGGAAAAATTCCTGCGTTCGTTAGCATTTGTCCTCCAGATTTACTGTTTAAGTAATGCTTACATAGCTTTGTCGCACTAGCGATCACGTAGCACATCATTATATACCAGCTAGCCCAACTTCAGTAACCTTACAAATGTCGCTGCTGTTTAGTTTCCTGTCTTCATTTATGTTGGAAGTGATAGCAGAGCTGTACGTTTGAATTTGTTTCATAAATCCCTCAGTCAGAACATGGTTAATTATATTTAGATGGAAGCTAGCAAGCTAACTCCCTGCTAACTTCTAAAGCCGTTAAATGTCATAAATTCTGTTTTCATGGATGCCTTGATGTTAAACTTAATTGTTACACCTGGTAGAGCAGAACGCTGATCATTTTATTAGAGAGGAAAGAATTTAGACAGTTTTTCTCTCTCTCTCAGTAATGCTACAGTGATCATTTGAGTTAGGGACCTGCAGTGGAGTTTGTGCCCAGAAATATCTAATGATGTCAGACTTAAAGACCGGATAGGGACAAGGGGGACAACTTGTCTATCTCTGGGGGTGAGGTCCCTAAGGTAGTTAAATAACTCCTTGGTGTCAGGGCCCCTGGGGTGGATGAGGTTCACCCTGAGTTCCCGAAAGCTCTTGATGTTGTAGGGCTGTCTTGTTTGGCACGCCCCTACAATGTTGTGTGGAGGGGTCAGGGGCGGTACCTCTGGATTGACAGATTGGGGTGGTTGTTTCCATCAGAAGGTGTGTTCTAATTATAGGGAGAAAACTCTATGCCAAGGTGCTGGAAAGGAGAGTCCCTCTGTTATTTGAACCTCGGACACCGGAAGCACAATGTGGTTTTCGATCTGGTTGCTCATTATCTAGTGGTGGTTTAAAAAAACTGATTTTAGTTTGAATAATGAAATATCAATTCATTACATTTTTTTAATATAAATGTATTCTGCCAGAAACAATTTCAACAACTGCCAAACAGCTAAAACAGCAAATGAGATCAGGTAAATGGATTCTGCAAAAAGATGTAAACACAAAGCACCTGACGGGCATGGATATGCGCGTGCTGAAAGCCGACATCTCACAGAATCTGAAGCTGCAGGTTTCATCACTCTTTGTTTTTATACATAGATATAAAATATGGATATGTACTGATAAATGATCTGAATTATAATATTTCTGACTGCCGAGAGACAGACAACCACACATTCCAGATTTGCAGCCAGTAAAAAACAAATTAACCATAGGCCTCTTTCCATAGTCACGCAGCTAAATACGCAACAATTCATATTTCATTTGAGAGAATGGTCATTGATCACCACCTCTTTTTCCTAATCACTGTCTCTGGATATTTCTGTGTCTCTATAAACAGGTGCCAGGATGAGTGTCCCCTTGGTACTTATGGTGCTGCCTGTGCAAAGACATGTAATTGTGAAAACAACAGCAAGTGCTACCACAGCAATGGAATGTGTCTTTGTGAGCCAGGATACACAGGAAAGACATGTGATGTCCGACTGTGTCCTGAAGGAATCTATGGCCTGCGTTGCGATTGGAAATGTCCGTGCTATGTCCAAAGCACTCGTGGGTATGTAGTAAATCATGTTGTCATCTTTGACAAACTTTGATCTGCAGATCAGGGTCAGTTTGAAGCCATTTGATTAATGCTGCCTCACGGTTCCCCGAATTCCAAAATATAACTCCGTGTTTCCTTTGTATCTTTTGGGTTTTAGCAGTTTGACATGTTGCGTGTATAGATTTGTGTATATGACCGCTGTGTCTGTAGACAACTGAGTGTAGTGATCAGTTAGCCTAGCACAGCTGGTGGGCTGCATGTGTCATTGCAGATAACAGCTGTTCTGCTTCTTTCTCAATGGGACTGCTGTGTCAGATACACCATCTGTCAGTCAAACTCTGTTACTATCAAATATAGCCACATTTCACCTGTATTACTACAGTTAACCCACACACTGAAAAATGAAAAAAGTCTTCCTCGGGTATATTGTAATTCATTTTTAGATTTAGATTTTAGATCGTTTGATTAGGTTTTTTTTGTTTGTTTGTTTTGTTTTTGTTTTTTCAGATTTAGACCAAGACAGCTAGAAGAAACACTTATGGCCTGATTTGCCTGTTGCCACTGCTGTTAGGCTTTCAGTATGCTTCCAGTGAGCACTGTTAGGATGTAGAGAAGTTGTACAAGCTAAAAGAAAAGCTAAAGCTCAGTCCCACAGGGAAGCATGACAGTGCACTTTATATTTGTAGCTAACTGCAGAAATGCTACTAGTGTGTTAGCTAACCTTTGGGATTAAATACTAGAGATAGTCACTGATCTTAAAAAAAAAACAGGTCATAGAAAAATTTGTTTCAAGCACACTAAATACTTTAAGTAGGCAATAGTACTGACTAGTAGGAATCTTGACTGTAGGAAACACCTCAACAAAGTTTATAACTATTATCTTTTTCTCTCTTGTCACCAGCTGCCACCCGATATCAGGGGAGTGCACATGTCTGCCTGGTTGGTCAGGTCTCTACTGCAATGAGACGTGCACTCCAGGACTTTATGGCGAGTCCTGTCAGCAGGTGTGCCAGTGCCAGAATGGTGCTGATTGCCACAGTGTGACCGGAGAGTGTATCTGTGCTCCAGGCTTCACGGTAAACCCACATATTAGTATGTGTAAATGCCAGTGAGTGTTT